AATCAATTTGGCACCCGAATTTGGGCAAAAGAAAGGTGATTTACTGAGATGCAGTACATCAAGGAGCCAGGGGAACTTGCCCATATTTGACTCTTTGAGCAAAAACTCAAATAACATTTTACAGTTTATAAGTAAGGAAGTCATACATATACATCTTGTTTCTGGGAATTCCTAATGCATAACGATTAGGGGTGGGGCAGGTGTAGATATAGCAAACATGTATCTTCATGCATCCCATGTTCAAAAAAATGGCAGTCTTAGAGTGCTTGGTGGGGGAGTTTTTGTGGGGGACATGTCACTAGGTCATCTTAGGACATGGGGCAGGCCACCCTGTGCAGGCTCCATAGGCCCAGTCTGGTTTGAACCAGTCTGGTTTGGGACTTCCAGGGTGTCTGAAAAACAACTTGCAGGAAGCCGGGCTTTTTTGAACCTGTGGTTACATATTCATGCCTGTACCTATTAATCCCCTAAAAGCTATTCCATATCCAGGTCTACAGCTCTTATGCTGTGTAACTTTAAGCAATGAACAGTTTCCATAACTTCTTTCAAAGTTGTAGAATCAGGAAATTTTAGAACTAGGAGGGACCTTACAGAGCATGTAGGCCAAACTATCAAGTTATATAGCTCTCCGGGCTTTGGTATTCTCATTTGTAATATGAAGGCTTTGTTCTAGATTCTTTGTTGTGTCTTGCCTCATTCTAAATTTTATAGCCTGCAATTTCAAAATATAAACTACAAAAAGAACACTTCAACTAATAAACATTAATGATATTATAAATTCTGCATTATAATTTTTGCATAAGAAATATATCTCACTTATGTGGAATGCATATGTAGATGCAAAAATAACATACACTAGTCTCCCCTTAGGAGCTCTGGTAGCATAGTGGCTAAAGCACTTGACTGCTAACCAGAAGGCTGGCGGTTCAAACCCACCAGCCACTCCTCGGAAGGAAGGTTGGGCAATCCTACTTCCGTAGTGATACTGCCTCGGAAACCCAAGGAAGGGTCGCTATGAGTCGGGGCCCACTCGACGGCACACAACAACAAACAACAACAGTCTCCCCTTATCTGAAGTTTCACTTTCCATTTTCTGTTACCCACGGTCAACAGTGATCCAAAATTTTGCCACTGTTCTGAGTAGTGCTATAAAATCTTGCACCTTCCCAGAGCCAGCTTCTTCCTTCTCTGCTGGGCGTGAGCCTAGAAAACAGTTGAATGAGCAGTCCAATGAACAGATTAATGCTGCTCACTCGGGTACCCTGGTCTATTGTATGTATGTATAGGAAAAAGCAGTGTATATAGGGTTTGGTACTATCCACAATTTCTGGTATCAGCTGGAGGTCTTGGAATGTATTTCCCACGGAAAAGGGTGGACGACTGTATTAATCGCTGAACACCACTGCACATATTATAAATACCTGGAGAGTAAAAACCGGGTCTGATTTTTACAATATGGCTAAGGTTTATAATTTCCCAGGACATAGAATCTGTCCTTGAGATGGTAACATCACATCCTTCTTGTACAAAACACAATGTTTTTCTCCACTTGAGCATTTGTGTAGTAGGGGAAAGTTCTGTTCTTAGGTCAATGTTTCTCAGTACATCAGATCTGCTAAATCAATCCTGCAGAGATTCTGGCCAAACTAAAACTCAGAAAACATCACCATCTGGGAATACATGATGATCAGCTTTCTCAATGACCAACATGGTTTAAGCTTATTTACTCATTTCAACTATTTTTCTTCATGCTAAAAATGGTAAAAACTGATTACTCAGGGGAAACTGAGTCCATAACAGAAATAATCTCAGAATCCCTAGGGCTGTGCCTTGCCTTGTAAAAGCACAAAAGGATCTTAACAGCAGTAGCATTTCATATTTGTAGATATTGATTTCCTTTAAGTCTATAAATGATATAAATCCTAGTTTGTATAAAAGAAAAACAACAAACTACCAACTCACAACTCATAGTATAATCATTTTATTAACAAAAGGAACCCATGGGGTTCAAACAAGAGTATAAAATACAATCTTTATTTTTTTCCCCTGTGGGTTAAACTGTTACATTTTTAATAATAAAAATAAAAAAGCATTCATAATTAACTTATCAAAAACAAAACCCCTGCCTAGTTTTCTTACTGTGCAAAAGAAAAACACAAAAAGTAAAGCCTTGCCAATGGAAGGATTTTGTATGCCAAAAGATGAACATTTTCAATTTCAAAATGTTTGTAGCAAAAAGAAAATTCTAAGGCCACAGTTACTTTACAAATTAAATACAACAGTAGGAGAATAGGCAAACAAATAAAAGCCACTAAATGTTTACTCTTCACTTCCCCTAGTATTCTCTGTTCCAATGCAAGACTTTCTCCATTCATAAAATGCTTTCCTGATTTAAAAAAAAAAAAAAAAAAAGAGGCATTTAGAGAAATTTCCCCCCTCTTCCGTAGTGATACTGCCTCGGAAACCCAAGGAGGGGTCGCTATGAGTCGGGGCTGACTCGACGGCACATAACAACAACAACAACAACACAGCAAAGGTGAGATAAATCAGTATCAGTTCAATAAGGCAAGCTAGATTTTCTTAGGTGTTCTCTTATGCGCTACCCAGTCAGCTCTGCTTTGATTTTGTGCAGGATTCCCTAATAAAGGCAACAAAACAACCCCAGAGGAGTCCATTAAGTAGTTGCTTCTCTATAAGAAGCCAAATAATTAAACGTTTTCTCCCTCCATACTATTTAGGTGGTTTCTTTAATTTTGTTTAAGAAGCCTTGGTGGCACAGTGGTTAAAGTGCTCAGCAGCTAACTGAAAGGTTGGTGGTTTGAAACCACCAGCTGCTCCATGAAAGAAAGATGTGGCAGTCTGCTTCTGTAAAGATTACAGCCTTGAAAACCCCATGGGGCAATTCTATCCTGTCCTATCAGGTCACTATGAGTCAGAATCGACTCGAAGGCAGTGGGTTTGGTTTGGTGGTTTTTCAGTTTGTTTTGGTATCATGGAGATGGAGAGTGTCTCCACAAGGCATGTAAACTATATAAACTATAACAGACGAAGTGAAAAAATAGCTGAAGTAATTCTTTCTTAAAGAAAAAATAAAATTGTTTGAACAGCAATTAAATACACAAAACTGTTTTAAAAATATATAAATAAGTAAACAAAGGAAAAACGAAAACAAAAACTCACTAAAAACTAGAGCACAGAATAAAGTTCTGTGACAATTTCAGTACCAGGATTACTGGTGTAACAGTTTTGCAGTTTGATTTCAAACAGTGGCTTAAACAAAAGAAGTGCTTACAATGCTTACATGATTGTACAGGAGAGGCATACCCAGAGAATGAAAAGCATATTTTTGCCTAATGTTTGTAGAAAAATCCCTGATTAAATGGCTAGTCTTAAATACAAAATTTAACCATAGAAGAACTTCTCAATCTTGAACTGAATATACTGATTGAAAAGAAAAAAATAAGTCATTCTGTGGAATGAAGCATATAATATTCTGTTCAGAAGCACCAGGGTTTCTAGATCAAACCTCAGGACAAACCAAAGCACTTGACCGACCCAAAATCTTTATCATGTGAATCCCTACCTCCTTTCCACTTAGTGTTCAGAAATGCTCTCAGCTCGTGGAACCAACAGATTAAAGGAAAAGCAAGTGACAAGGTGACCATGAAACTTAAGGAGAGAGGGGGGCACAGTAAACACACTGCTAGACTTTTAGCAGGAACACATTCTGTTGGTCTGATCCTGAGAGAAAATTATAATAAAATATTGCACCAAAAGACAAAAGAAAATCACAGTTTGAATAGAATTACAAAAGAACTGGAATCAATATATAATGAAGGGAGTGCCATCAGTATACCTACGTCTCTTGACAGAAATCAAATTTTGATCCCTTTAATGGTATTTCTACCCTAGTTTGACTCTGCCTTTACTTTGAAATACTCTTAGTAAGAATATATATTAATTTCCACTTAATGCTAACTTTATAGGTTTTTCCGTTGGTCCAATTTCAGATTTAAGGACAGGTTAGATTAGGCTGTTACTGCAAGTAGCAGAAACGCCAGAGGAGATTTATCAGGGTTATAGTTTCAAAAACATAGCTGATAACCCCAGTGGAGGTAGGCTAAGAAAAGGCTATTTCTGGACTCCATAGGTAACAACAGGTAAGTAACAAGCCATCTTGAAGATACAACCTTTCCTCTTCTCTTTTTGTGATGTGCTTCTACATATGTAAGATACAATGAAAACATCTGTTAAAGTGCTCAAAGGGGATAAAAAAGACCTCAGCAAAATATGTTTTCATAGTGAAATTCATTCTATCTTTCCCCTTTGAACAAGCTTTTCAAGGTACCCTTTCTTGGTTTCATAATACTGTGTAGCCAATTTATAAACTACATTTTAAAACATTACTGAAAGAGTGAAAATTATTACTTCATTAGGACATCATATGACCATGATCTTGAGAAAGGATTCTTGCCAGGGTTTCAGTCCTACGGAGCATGGACGAAATCATGATGATTTCTGAGGGATGCATTTCTTATTTATAGCAGGCCACGTTCCTATTCATGCATATCCTTGTGCTGCCACTCTCTCCACAACCAAGTCTCCTTCCAATTCATCTATTTTGTTTTGGATACTTTGCTCCATTTTGAGAAACCTTTTTTAAAGGTTTACTTGCGTAGTGTTTCCACCATATACACAGATTACCTTCTCGTGGGTCAGCACAGCTTTCTTCACCCCACTACTTACTCTATCACCATCAAGACTTTCATTGCATTCTGTGATTTTTCACATCTTCATCCCATTATTTTCAAGGGATATTATGACTGTCACATAAACTTGCATGACAATTCTGTTTGCCCATGGAAAGCTCACACATTCTTTAATTTCACTCGCTGTCAGTCTTGATAGTCCTCTATATTATGTTTACCTCCAGAAAAGCAGGAGGAGAGAATGACAGTCCAATTTGGTGATGAACACAGTGATTTCTGATATATGTATGCTCAGAGAATGAATGAAACAGGCTGAGTTTCCTCAACATCAGTAGGATGTGGGTCAACCTGAAAAAAAAAAAAAAGTAGACTATTGCAGCATTTTTAAAAATTATTCTAATTCCTATTTCTAATTATACGATGGTTATAAACCCACCCACAGTGGCTTAAAGCCAGGTATTAAGAAGTCCCAGCAGGCCATTTAAGTTCTCTGTAATCCATGGCCATATAAAACACCTTAAAGGTAATCAATCAATCTGTGGTATGTAAATTACATAAATTACAAGGCAAATACTGCAAAATGTGCTAGATGGATCGATCAGTGGCAATCTATCATCATTATAAAGTTTATATGTATCCTCTACTAATTATAGGTCAGCAACAGACACTTTAATGAATGAAGGGCAGCAAATGATTATTTACAAACTAGCACAGTAAGACTTTAATTTTCTTTTGCTTTGTTTACCTCTGAATAAAGAGGTGGAGGCTGAAACCGGAATTCCTGTATGCAGGCAAACATAGGACAACATGTTCCTCCCTCACAGCTAGGAGGCTGAGGATAGTGCTGGTAGAATTCCTCCTCTGATACCACATCTGCATAATTTGGTGGTGCTGAAACAGAAATGGAGTTGAACTGAAGAATTCCACCCAAAATTGATTAATTATAGCTATCTAAGATACAACTATAGATCTCATCTTACCTAGAGAAAAAGAGAAAGAAGGAAACCAGAGTCAGAGAAGAAACTAGTCTACATGACTAACAGTCTACGTAAACCATGGCCTCATCTACCCTGAGATAAGAACTTGACGGTGTCTGGCTACCACTAATGACCATTCTGATCAGGGCTACAATAGACATATCCTGACAGAAGGGGAGAAAAATGTAGAACAAAAATCAAATTCTTAAACAGTCCAGACTTCCTGGACTAGTTGAGACTAGAAGACTCCCAAGACTATCACCTTGACTTACTCCAAAAACCTTGGACCAAAACTACCCCCTTAGGTCACCTTTTACTTAAATAACAGATGAACCTTTATATGAGACGAAATGCACAACACTTATTCTATAAAGCAAAGCTGAAAGTGTAAGGAGAAAGGGAACTAGATTACTGGAAGTGAAAGATCAGAAAGAAATGAATGAGAATGTTAAAACCTTATAGAAAATGTAACCAATGTCTGAACAATTTGTGTACTAATTGTTAAATGGGAACCTGATTTGCTGTGTAAACTTTCAGTGAAACATGATTAAAATATTATTTTTTTAAAAATGGATTAATTACATTAATGTTTTCTGAACTCATGAAAAAAAAGAAACCAAGCAAAATTAGAAGGAGAAAAGGACTCTTTTTTTTTTCCTCCTTCTAATCAGC